GAGGGCTTGGCATGCTCTCTTGACCAACCAGAAACCGAAAAGTATCCCCTAGCGGTGGTAGCGAGAAACAGTTCTGAGCCGATCGATCATCGAAGGTCGATGTTCGTATATGGTTTTAATAAGTGCGTAAGAGTGAAGTGTAGTAACTCTTTGTGGTTGAAAATAGGGTGCACGTGTTGTTTTGATCATGATCATGCAGAAAGATGTAAGAAACGAATGCGCCACTGAACTCTGTTTTGCACGCACAGAGTGTGACCGCTCTGACGGCGATTCCCGGCGCTCGGCGTTTGACGTAAGGATTATGTCGATCTTTCCGCCAGTCGCACTCTTCCACCATCATTTTAGATGAATGTGATTGAAACATCACGTGTACCATATTTTCAGCCATCGAGAGTTACTTCAATGCAGTTATCAGGTTTGTTTCTCGCGACCACCGCCAGGGTATCATTTCCGGCTTCTGGTTGGTCACATTCGAATTTCTGAAGACGCCCTGGAACACGCCCAGCCCGCTTTCGGCCAATGGCGCCGCTTCATTTGTCTCCTATACTTCGCAACGAATGGCCAAACTCTCTACATATACGGCTCTGGGTTAACACGCACTCCGGTGATAGACGCGCGGTTCATTGACACTCATTAAGAAAAAGCTCTAGAAAGATTACTTTGGAGCCTGGACATTAGCACTTTAGACGAAACTCTATTTGCGACTATCGTTCCGTCTGGACGGAACGCTAGCCACAGCTTTTGTAATAACCCACTAGCTTTGTGGCTTAAGCGTCGTCAGAGCAAACACTCAGCTCGGATAGAAGGCAATCTTCACTGACTGAAATGTCAAAGAGGCAGCAAAATCACAAATACAGTGATCAACCATAGTGCCCTTGAGCACCTGTCACTACAAATGACATAGCTGATTTACTCATGTTCTCGTTTTCTGCAATCCCTGGCGTCTATTTGTTTATTAAAAGCAGACCTCCAAAATATGCACCACAGACTAAAGGGGCAATTACGGTACCACATAGGGCAATGGGCAGAAATAATGCCAAAACGCTTTGTAATCTTGCCGGAGCAGTATCATTAAGTTCCACAAGGAGGATCTGAAGGCTCAGAATGTCACGTGCTCTGCTGTTTATATTTCTTTTTGCCATGACTGTATTTGTGAGCCACTGTGGCTACACATAGGTCCAGTGCCAGGGGTACCGATCAGCATCCATACAATACTGTAACCGACTAAATTTTCGCGAGGACCTCATTTTCGTAAATTTCGCGAATCGCCTTCAATTCGCAAAAAATATGTCCCGCAAACAATTCGGGCAATATGTGAACGCTACGAAAGATACACTCGATTCGCGAAAATTACGAAAATGAGGTCCTCGCAAAAAGAACCCACGAATAATTTCAAATTTTCAGCTTTGGCCCGATTCGCGAAAATTAAGCCGTTTACAGTATATAGAATTTAGGAGGGCGAAGGTATAGCGGTATGAGTAATGCATACGCATGATGTCGTGCATTCCAACCGGAAAAGTCTATACATACGACATGGGGAGCTAACGCAATCTAGAAGTGGAATGAGGCCATCGGGATTGGGTCCTGTCTGCTCGGCCAACTAGGCAGCTTTGACTCAGCCACTCGCTGTGTGTGGACATGTTGCAAAGCCTGTCCCCACATGCATGTACGACGCTATGATGGCAATTTGTGCACCCACAAGGTTTAATAGTATGCAAGCACATACTAGTATGCTCATGGGTTTAGAAGGTGTATCCCCATTGCAGAATCGCTCGCGCAGCCGGATTACATTTCAGTGCTTTGATCTTATAAAGCAGCTTTTATTCAAGTGCACAAGCCTTGAGCACGCGACGGAAAGCAACTAAACAAGTATGCGGAACCTCACGTACAGCAAGTAGGGTGGCGGAGGTCAAGTTCATTTTTGCGAAGCAATACCACTGTAAGTCGCGACAACCTGTGCCCGCAAAACATCTTTAATGCCGAAACTTTTTGAGCTCAAAAAATAAAAGCCCTTTTCAGTATTCAGCAGTTTGGGGCAGAAGCCATGCTATCAAGCGCACCAGCGACACGCCGGGGATCTTAATAGAGCAGCCGGCCAAGACCCAAGTGGTCGTGGATTGATCACTATTGCTTCCGTCTACCGCTATACTTCGTTTAACAACCTTAAAAAGAATTAAAAAGAACAGTAGCGGACACTGCGAGCCAGTTAGACTCGTTTGGGGCAAGTCTAACACTGCGAGTTCGACTCAATTGCCCCAAATGTGTCTGAGAAACCAGATTCAACACTATCCTATTTATTGGGCATGCGACATAATTCAGGTCGGCGAATTTTGCTACACATATTGATTGTAATATTGCCTTATTACCATCATGCTTTTAATTTTAAGGAACACGGAACCAACATTACAAAGGAACTTCTGTGCACACCCATCCTACGATTACATAAGAACTTCCGTGGTGTTATATACATGTTTCAACTTTTTCGTATTTAGCATTTCAAGTAGACATACTGACAACACTTTTTATAAAATCGTTGGCATAATAAAGTATTGTCCTCCCCTTTCCCTTCTCCTTACCCTCCCCCCACCCTTCCCGCCCCCCTTATCGTGGTACACACGTGCATAATCGCGACTGCCTATGATGCACGCTCATCCGCTGTTGTCCCGCGAAATCCAGCGCGCCTTCGAGAAAATGAAAGACGCCGCTACGTAAAATACCGGGCAAGCGCCCACTCAAACTTTGGAGAGAATCGCAAAAAAATGGGGGATGGGCGCTTTTCCGGTCATCAATTTTACATATAAATTTACTGTGCGCATTTTCTCAGATCTTACAGATTTGGGAATGGGCGGACGCGCGGTATTCTACGGTGCGTCTATGATATCCATGAGTAAACAATAATCGATCACACTTATTACCAACTTACTCGAGTACGGCAAGCACGAGAATGTGCACGGAAAAAGTCGGCGTGGATTATTTACAACAATGAGGCGCGCCACTACGTTAAGAAGAGCAAATGAAACACAAAACTCACCGAACAACTGCAACACTACTGCCTTGTAGTAGGTCACACCATCAGGCGGCACCTGATTCTTCAGATCAATGTCCGCGCACCATGCGATCTTGTACTGGCCGTGTTTTTTTACTTCTTCTGGTTGCTTATTCCGAACAAAACCGATAGGTACCACCTCCGCAATGTTATCATCGTAGTGGACAAGAATATACTTTGCCATTGCGTCGACCGCGGATCACCAAAGGCTGCTTCGGTATCACACACAGGTTGAAAGAAAAGCACGCCTGATGAAAAATGGCGTTTTCTTTCTCCAGCTTCTATATTTCCGGATTGGCTTTGGATTCGGATCGATACACAGATGTATGGAATTGGTTTCGTTTTCAGAAGTTTTGTTTCTTGTACCGCAGTCTCACCAGTGGCCCAGCCAGAAACATGTTTCGGTGGGTGTTTTGCTGACAGAGGGAAAAGGAAGGTGAAAAAAGGAGGGCTAAGCGTACACGAGGCTTGTCACAGTCGACGGAAGGTATTTGCTTTAATATTTAGCTCACACATGTCTGCACATGCCAGAAATATAATACATGCGCAGTGTTTTTCTTTCCTTAGCTTTTGGTTCGGGCATGTGTGATATTTACCCGCTGTCAGCACCAACCAGGTTCCGTTGTAAGTCAGTGCCCTTCTCTGTCTGTCTTCTTTTACTTTGTCAGTGTCCCTGCTCTGTTATATTCCTTTAATATACGAACTAGAACAATCATCAACGTTTCTGGAGTACGTTTTATTCGTTTTAGTCAACCTCGTTGGTTCTAGTGGTTTTAGTACTATTTTATTACTATACACGCCAATCCGCTCCGGGCCTGACGGTGTGACCGGGCGGCCATCTTGCTCGTACACGATTCGCGGTTCTGCTAGCGTTACAGAGGCTGGCGGCAGCGTGCTCAAGACACGTTTTCTACTCGTTCGTCGTCATTCGCCGAAGATTTTTAGGACCCTGTGTAAGGGTTGAGACTTGCCGTTGAAAACACGTGGACATTTTTACGAAAGCGCAGTGCAGCAGGAAAAAGCTACAACAGAAATAACGATTTTGTACTGCTAATTTGATTGCCATAAGCGTTTAGTAAACAAAACAAAGAAGAAAAAAAACGCGCCGCTGATGCCGCCCCCTTCCCTCCCTCCCTCTTCCGTCGCCACTGGACACTGGATCAAGCTCGTTTCTGGACCGCGAGTGCCGCAGGTTACAAATACAGTAGTCAGAATAAAAGTAAAACGCTGCCCAGAGGTATGTACATATGGCTTTGCGCGCATTGCACTCGCACAAGACATCCACACGGCGCCGAAATGAATCTTGATCGGTATCCAAGCGTGCGAAAGTATAGAGACGCAGCACTTCGGCGTGTAAAGGAAGCTTTGATCAGGTCGCGAGATTGGCGACACTTGCTTTTGACGATTTGTGCCCTTACATACGGTTTCACGCACATTGCACTCACAACACACATCCACACGGCGTTGATTCTTGATCGGTATCCAAGCTTGCCAAGGCACAGAGACGCAGCACTTGGGCGTGCCAAGAAAGCTTTGATCCCGGCGCGAGACCGGCGAAACTTGCTTTCGACGAGTTGTGCCTTTTTTCTGCGGCACTTCGCTTTCGTAAAATTTTCCGCGTGTTCACACGGCAAGTCTTAACGGGTACACAGGGTCATGAAAAAAACTTCTTTGGCGAATGACGACAAACGAGTAGAAATTGTGTTTGTAGTACGCTGCCGCCAGCCTCTGCAACGCTAGCGAAACCCCAAATCGTCTACGAGCAAGATGGCCATTCAGTGGCTTCACGGCTCTGGACCGGAGAGAAGCACGATCCAGCATTTGTCATAGAGATCAGTGGTGTGACCGGTGCATGGACTGGTGTGACCAATGAACCAGTGCCAGCCGAAGCCTCTTTTTATTATCGCCGATTCATCTGGGGTGTGACTGGTGTGGTGCAGAGCCGGCTCTGGTGTGGTGACGTTCCTCCATTTCAGTACTTATAGTATTTCAGATTCAGATCTGGTTAACATGTCTGATACCAAGCGTAAGCAATACCTGAAGCCTGAAAATGCATTTGTGCGCCCGAAAGCGACTGCCTGGTGCAGAAAAACGAAGAAAAGCAAAGAAACTGCGGACGAAACCGAGGTACCCGTAAGTCAAGAGTTGTTTGTTAACAGCTTGAAAGCGCCGCGTGTTTGGCCGTAATTAATATTTCTTATCGCAATGGTTAAAGTGACGTCTGGCTGCGCTGCTACCACATGTTCAAACGCCGCCCAAATGCCTTACCTAGCGAAGGGCTGCATTAATTGTGCCTAGACCCTCAGCACTTTGGTGTGCCTAACTGCAATATTCTGACCGCGCGCGCGCGTATGTAGAACAGTATAGAAAATAAAGGAGAAATAAAAAGGTGTGGGTTTTTGTATCTGCTCTGCGTTTTGCAGTGAATGTCGACAGTAAAAGACTTGCAAGGCCAAACTCGAAAGAGTTTGGGCGTACAGGAGACACGAGTTGCTCTCGCTCCATTGTGCCCAATGTTAAGGCTACATGACACACTCTCGGCACTAGATTAGCTCTAATGGCTCGTAGCTTCTTCCGTGGGACATTGAAGTGAAGTATGGCACCTCTGCCATATGCTAGCTCCACTATGCTGTTGGGTTTCCTGAGCATGTCTGCACTCAGTTTTATAGCTAATTCGCGAATTGAAGACTAGTTATTCGACAAAGCCGCGAATGAAATGTATGCAACCAAAGACTATGTAATTCATGGCTGCACTCTCTTAAAAGCTTATATGCCTCTTGTTCCTCAAAGGGCAACTCCAGTCCATACTTTCGATTTTGGGATTATGACTGTTTTTAGTGCAGTCAGCGTCCCTGAATCGCAAGGTGTAATTTTTTTCTCGTTATTGTGCGTAGTTTTAGAGATATCGACGCCTCAAAGTTATGTTTGGGCGAGGCCAACAAAACCGAAACTAGCCGCTCGAGGCCCCGGCAACACTGGAAATCAGCTGCTATGTGAACGTGACGTCAGGATCGTTCTCGTTCAACGAGTACGCAGGCCAAGTGGCACCTACCTCTGTTGCGCTAGCCGTCTAAAGATAGGAGGTAAGCTGATTTTATTTTAATCCTGTATGCGTGGTAGTTATCCAGCATATGTAGCAAGAGTTAGTGTGTACACCCAAAAGCTAGCGACTGGGAAACCCGTGAACTTGTACGGTGCCGTACTCGGCGCTTTTATACCCAAAAGCTAGCGACTGGAAAACGAGTGAACTCGTTCGGTGCCGTACTCGGCGGCCGTGTGTGCGGTCTTCCGTACTCGTCGCTAGGCCTAAATTGTCATCGGGGCTCAGTGGATAGAGCGACGTTGCTCTACGCCGCGCTGCCAGTGACGTACAGTACTGGGGTCCCTCTCACTTTCACGCTGCGGGTCAGTTCAAGACACAAAGCTTTGAGGTTCTCCGGCGCGGGCTGCGGCGCCCGAACACACGTGTGCTGGGACGTACACGTCTGTTTTTTCATTCTTTTTTCCTCGGGCGCGTTAAAGCTGAAGTCCAAAGTCCACTCGTTGAACAGCATTCACCCACACCTCCTTCAATCTATGGTCCGTTGGAAACTTGCGAAAAAGCACCTCCGGGTTGCGCAGCGGGTTGTTTGAGCAGCCCACAGCGCTACAAGTTGCACTCGACATCTTTTGAGGAACAGCTGCAGCAGTCTTGGGCGCACCGAGTTGCTCGCTAAAACGAGTCCTGGAGTCCTCACAAGCAAATAAACAAAAGGCTATACCGAAGCTACATGGGCTACAGATAAAAGCAGCGGCTAAACGCGCCAATCACAAGCTAAAGTAGCGGTGGTAGCGGCTCAAAGAAGCGCACTCCGTGCAATGCCCAGACTGGAGGAAAAAAAGAGAACGATACTGACGTCATGGGCCAATGTTGCTTTAGCGATCGTCAACCCGCTGCCCGCCCGCTAAGAAGCAGCGGCTCGCGGCGGGTCGCATTTTGATTATCGGCATTAGTTTAGAATGCGGCTTCCCACGAACATAATATTTTGGCTGGGGTCGTATTTTGTGGCGCTACAGCGATACCAGTAATTTATTTTATTTTGAGTTTTGGCCGGAGTTGCCCTTTAAGCATTTGAAGCATCTCAGCCGAGTTGGGACGGCAACAGCTATCGCACCCTGAAAGCCATGCAGACTCGCTTAATAGCAAAAGCCTAGACCTTTTTTCCACATTGGAGCGCTCTACTGCTCGCTCTTTTTCCAAAGCTGAACCGATTTAAATCTGTAATTTTATCTTGAAGTGCGTGCAGCAGATTATTCACACGGGACTTTGTGGGGCTGTGTCATGCTAATGCCTTCCCCTTCGTTTGTCGCATTAATTTTCATGGCTTCGAAATTTAGTCTTTTGCATATAATTGGTACATAGATTATATTGATGAATTGACAGGTCTTAACAATGCCCCAAAAGTAGTGTTTGCCAACGAGCTCGTAATTTCATGATATAGGTTCCTGTATTGAAGCAATCATACTTGTCATTTTATTTCAGGACACCTCATCTGCTTCCCAAAGAACCTGGGCCCTCTAACCATCTGCTGGTACATATTTTTAAGAATTCACTCGTTAAAAACACCTTTAACCATCACTGATAGCAGAAGTCTACTGGTAATTTTTACTTACAAGGCCAGAAAAGTCTAGCCCTGCTGACTCTACAAACAAAGGCAAAAAAAATGGCTTTAGCATCGCATGACGCGATTAGACACTTTACGAAGTGGCTGCAAAACCGCGAGATGCTGTGTTTAACAAGTGCGGCAGGCAACACCGGTTGGGGGGGGGGGGGGGGGGGGGGGCAGAGACCGCTGCCTTTAGCATCCATGGTGGTCATCGCACTATCAAGTTCAAAACGATAAGTGTCTTAGTCGGACTGAAATTCATCTCCGGTTACCAATCACTGTGGACAATGTTAATGACTACCATGATGTCTGGAAGGCAAGCAGTGGTAAACGGCTGTGTAGCTACAGATTTGTTCCTTAAAGCTACCTCGAGAAACCTCGTTGCAGCTCTCGCAGCAACGAGGTTTCTCAAGAGCTTCCTGCAAGCCTCGGGCATCTCAAACGGCTGAGTTGCAACGTGCTGATGCCCCCAAAGGGCAAATGTGATTATTATGAGCTGCGTTGTCACTCAAAACAGCGATAATCCTTAAGTTGACAATTCGGCATGAGCTATTATTGCAAGTGAGGCTATCTTCATTAGTCCTTCTCAAAAATTCTATATTGTGTATGCGTAACTCTGTGTGTTTCTTTTCGTTTGCCTCTGTTGCAATTTCTGGCAATAACCCCTTCCTTCCCCACAGCCACATTTTTTGGAAGATTGTATGATTAGCTTATTAACCTCTTTGGGTCACCTGGCGCCGTCTGCTTTTGACACGGTTTCTCTCCTCCACACCAGTTGTTGGGGAAAAGTTGCGGCATGTCAGTTCTCTGTAACCATATTGCTTAGTAAATTTATTTTGAAGGTTAAAAGTAACTATTGAAAATAAAGTTGTGAGCTGATCGATGTTTTGACTTGCTTGATTATAGCCCCACAGAATTTTCTGATAAAATCAACAGGGTGTCTACCCATTGGGCAGACATACAGAACCTGAAACGATTGGAATTTTCTCAGCCTACAAAGTTTCTAGAACATTTATTTCTAGTGCTCTGATTTGTCATTATTGAAGAAAGTATTCATTGGAGGTTTACATTATGTACATGGGACATCTGTATGCACCCTGTTCACGTTGATGTTTTATTTTCAGTATCAGGAAACTTAAAGGGTCAGCACCCAGCCAGATGAACCAGAAGACAGCACAATGGTGAGAATAGTGACCTAATTAATTTGAGGTTAACTTGAATAGAATGCCACTCTTACTCATTCTTTACTCATGACTATCTTTATGTTGGCTTTAAGGCCAATAGGAAGGTCTGTATCCTACCAACAAAAACACTGTATGTACAGTTACCAATCACTGTGGACAAAGTTAACCAATACCATGTTGACCGGATGACAAGCAGTGGTAAACGGCTGTGTTTCTTCAGATTTGTTCCTTAAAGTGGTACGGAAATAAATTCTAGCACCCATTTTATTGTTCACATGTCGGCTAGGCAGTGGTATCACCTTGCAAAGACCAATATTTTGTCCAGAAAACATGAAAATTAATTTTAAAACAAATTAAATTATTCCAAAATTGCTCCTGGTGGATGCTTCGAAAGCTTTGTTGGAAGTCGTTGCATCACTTACTACAAAACCAGGAGTGCCGCTCTGCGGGAGTGCGGCATACCAATTTCAAGTGGCTTCGGCCTGAACCCAATTTCGAAACCTTGGATGAGAAAGTCGGCGTAGAGCTGGCCACGGTGAATGCCGAATCTCCTGTCCAAAAGCATCTGAGAGGCAACGTCCTCGTCCCCCCTGACTGTCACAAATGTGCGTGGTCCAGTATGTAAATTAGTTGAAACAATATTAAAAAGACAAAGGCCACAGCTCGTGTGCACACAAAAGAAGAAAAAAAATGTTCGACCGGTTGACCAGGCGCTAGGGCCACGCCTGGTGTAAAAGTGAGCAGGGGAAGCGACCACAGGGTAGAGGATAAAATCGCAAGATATTTACTACTTTCTTCAAACAACAAAACAAAACAAAAAACTCTCTGAAACCGTAGACGACGTACGCTCGCAAGCAGACGAACAGAAAATCAAAGAGCCGCTCAATACATATCCGCAGACTCAAAGCGCACGGGTACAACAAAATACAAGTGATAATGAAAGTCTTATCTGCGGGATTGTCGCTGGTCCAGGGGGTGGGTTGGATGCCTCCTCCGTGGTCTTGGTCCAGTCCGCCGGACAATTTTCTCAGGCGCACTTCCTCACGCACTCACACTGCAACTCTAGCACCACGCGGTACTACACAGGAAACCAACAAAACTTGAGGAAGAACAATGACGTTCGAACGGCGGGCTCAAATCCCCGTCATCTTCACGACCGCAGGACGGGAGAGCTGCGTCTCCGAATGCCCTTGGGATTCCGTGCGTCTTTTTCCCGCCGGTTCACTTTTATTTATAAGAACTAGCAGCATTCTGAAGCCACTCACATTAACGAATCAGAACCGAGCTTCTTGGCTCCAGTGAGAACTCTGGGGGTTTTTCCCTTTTTCCTTTTTGTTTTTCCAGGAGAAAAGCAAACAAGCAAACAAACAGAAAATTACTTCTACACTCCATGCAGCTTCAACAGCGTCGCTGAGAGGTTTGGGGACTTGGTCACCCGGTGCTCTCCATTGAACGCGTACCGAAAGCGGCCTTTCCCGAGCCGGACCTCCGACCGTTTCCCTTCGGCATCCCCGCATGGCACGACCGACCATAAACCTAACACAAACAAAACAAACCTTCGGTTCAGGGTGCGACGCCCACACAAAGTGGCTTTAACGTAAACAAAACCAGGGCGCGGCAAGCTTTCCTTCGTAACATTCGGCATGGTCCAACAGAATACACACACAGCAAGCCTTCGGTTCTCGGTATGACGCGTACACAAGGCGGAGTGGAGGTAATGAGCCAGTCCCCGGTCGCTTCTTTTCGGGATACGCGGCATTCCCCGAAATACCACCCACACAGGAGAAATGCAGAAAAACAACAAAACAAAAAATGTTAAGAAAGAAAACAAACAAAAAGCTCAGCGATTTGTGGCACTGACATCGGAAAGTTTTAGTAAACTGTTCCAATAACGATACCTGGTACTTTGCCGACACTCTTGAACATGCGTCTCTTCGTTATCGGGTATCGTTATGGTACGGTGTTTTTGTACGCCATTTATGTGGCCAAATTGTGTAACTAGCGTGTTGTCAAGAAAGAAAAAAAAAAGCCGTCATTTCATGCAGTTGTGTGTAGTTAGCTGCGTCGTGATATGTTCGAAAACAAGCAGAGGATGGGGATCATTTGCACAAAAAAGCTTTATTTTTCACTAAACGTCACACCAACGTCACTGAACGAGAATACAAAATTGGCAGCTGGTTGTCGTGCTGAGCGGCTGAGTGCAATCAACAAACACCATGTTTTCGCTGTTTCAGGGACGACCCTTATGCATCGTTCACATACTTGTGACCGAGTACGACCGAAAGAGACAAGACTGGTTTTTAAGCCTCTTACGACGTCTTAGGACCAGCTCCGCAGCAGCGCATCCGGTCCTAAGACGTCGCAAGAGACTTACAAACCGGTCTTGTCTCTCTCGGTCGTACTCGGTTACAAGTGTGTGAACAAGCCTTAACTAGTTCGGGCTTCAATTATGTTTTTATGGCTTACCTTCACGGAAGAAAGTACTCAAATACAGGCGCGCTGGTGAGAATGACACTAGCGGGAACAACTGCCAATATGCATGACTAGCGCAAGATCACACTTAGCTTATGTATGGGGCCGTCTATAATTCCAGTTTACGCTACGCACGTCACTGAACTTCAGGCTTTTTTCGGATCCCCGCGCAAGCGAGTCCGGCGTTTGTCACGTTCGTTAGGCGTATCGCTTCTTCGGAGAGCCATCCTTGCACTGTCTTGCATAGACTTGCTGGATCGAGCGCATGGACGTCACATCGCACACCAACACAAAACACGAGAACACCACTCGCCACAACGGGGGATTCAGATTGCAGAAATGCACAACACACATACACACAAACACACACACGCTCCAACTGGTCAACTGGACTGGGCCACGGGTCAATGGAGCGAATGGAGCTCTCGCTGCAACAAGGTTTTTGAGAGCTTCCCGCAAACCTCGGACATTTCAAACGGCTGAGTTGCAACGCGCTGATGCCCCCGTGTGCCAAACGTGATTATCATGCCAGTCTCCAGAAGAGAGAGAGAATAAAACTTTATTGTCCCAGCACTGTGAGTGGGGTGATGGGTGCAGCCGTCTTATCCGCCGCTGTCCTAGAAGACGGCCGAGATCCCCTGGACCTCGGCGGCTTCTTCGGCTAGCCGGGTGGCCGAGACCTGATCTTGTGGGTCTGAGGTGAGCAGTAGGGCCTCCCAGTGCTCGCGGTCTTGGATTTTGCGGCCATCAATGGTCAGTGCCGTCTGAGAGCATGCCCATAAGATATGTGGCAGATCCGCCTTCAGAATTTACACATAGTTTCAAATTGTCCCGGGTAGAACCGGCTACAGGCCACTGGGCTCGGGTACATGTTGGTTTGGAGGAGGCGCCAGGCCACCGCCTGCTTCTTAGTGAGTTCAGGTTGAGCTGGTGGGTACCGGGCCCGCCCCAGTCGATAGTGATTTGTAATTTCTGGATAGGTGGACATGCGGTCTCTTCGCGTTCCCGGTTGGGCAGGCTCACTGGCTCGGCGTGTAAGACCTCGAGCTACCGTGTGAGCCGCCTCATTGCCTGGGAGCAAGGAGTGCACCGGTGCCCAAATAATTTGGATCGTCCCGCGTTGCCGCTGTTGGTGATGGTCACCGTACGTTTTCCAGGTAGCTTGCCCTTATCCCGGGCTATGGCATCACAAATATTGCCGCGTATCCCAACATGCATTGCGCTTTCTGACCGCAGCTCGTCGAGCGCCAGCCAAAATGTGCTGTTTGGAACGAAAAATAAACAAATTCACTCAAAATACAAACGTGCCATTGTCATCGACAGGTATAAGTGATCACATTTAACCTTTTTCTGGACGAAATGGCTAAATTTAAATTTTTGTTTCAGTACCCTTTAAAGCTGCCTCGAACCGTTGTCACTCAAAACAGCAACAATTTTTCAGTTGACTATTTTTTATGAGCTATTATTTGCAAGTGAGGCTATCTTCATTAGTCCTTCTCAGAGCTTGTATATTATGTATGCGTGAATATGTGTCTCTTTTTGGGTTTGCCACCTTTGCAATTTCTGGCATTCGCCTCTCCCTTCCCCACAACTACATTTTTTGCAAGAGTAAATGAGTCTGCTTATTAAACCTCTTTGGGTCACCCGGCACCGTCCTATAAATGTTTAATCTCGTGTCGCTTTTATGTTTTTCTCCTTGACACCAGTTGTCGGGGGGAAGTTGCAGCATGTCGGTTCTCCTTATCGAGAGTTCTGCTGGAAGAGGGAAAAGTGTCTTTTGTCTTTGACCTTCTCTGTCTTTCCTAAATTTATTTTTTCCTCACTGTGTCTTTGTTATCACACCCCATGCTTCTGTGTTTGTAGAGCAGCAAGCCGAAATCGAAAAGCATTTTATGTGTAGCATCGGAACAGTGGCAGGGATCCAAAGGTCTATACACTGTTGATGTGGTAATGGTAGCAGATGGAGAGCCTGCGCTTCATTTTGAAATGCCACTACTAGATGCTGCAAAATTTGTAGAAGGGTTCATTTGCTCTTTTCTCATCAAAGTTTCTTGTGGAACCCTCGATTCCTAGTGGATTTGCATTGAGGCCAGGTGCAGCCACTTGTGAAGTGCTGCTTTTTTATTTTCATGCATCGCTCCAAGCTTAATGCTAGAAGTTAAAGAGCCCTGCTTCTGGCGATTGGCTGTAACTGACTTGCAATCAGTCAAATAGTGTGTGGCAACCCTCTAGTATCACTAAATTATAACCATTTTGCTTCGTAAATTTATTCTGAAGGTTAAAAGTAACTGTTGAAAATAATGTTGTGAACTTATTGGTGTTTTCACTTCCTTCATTATAGACCGTTCCATTAGGGTCATAGCAGAGAGCGTAAAAGAGAAAAAATGTACTCCCCCTCTCACCCTACACGTCGTCTGCTCCGCCAAATGGGCTGTAGCTAGTGTCCGGCTGGCGTGCAAACTCTGTTTAAAATCGCGTCATTTTGGAACTTTCAAGCGCAGGTGCGCAGATTTTGGTATGGCAGTTGTGTAATACTATGCTAGATAAAGACTCACAGGGTCCAATTGCGCTGTTACCTGCGTGCAAATAAAACAAAAAAATAAGGAAAACTGTGTCAGATTGGTTGGTCTTTTTGGCGAAAAGTAAATCCGGTTGCTGTACCTTTTTTACTATACAAAGTTCGTACTGGTGTAGGCCTTTAGCGACCATGAGTGGAAGTCTGAATTAATAAATAAAACATGCTCTCCTGCCGCAATACACGCAGTAGTTGAGGGTAGTACTGCCGGCTGACTCAACTGCTATTTAAGTAACGGAAGAAGGATATGCTAGTTGATCATTTAGCGAAATAGAACAACAGAGAGCTATAGTCTGATTCTGGAGTAGCCACAACTATTCTAAGAACGCGAACCACTTCACAACGGCAGCCACGAGCAAGAGTTCGATGTTCCGTACTGCCCGCCGATACAGCCCAAAGATGGAGAACGGCAACCTCCCGGTTTGTCGTCTGCTAGCAGAGTCGGGCGCGTGCCCTCTCTCTCGTTTCACCCCGCCGAACCCGCTGAACTTCCCGGATGTGTGGAGAGGGTGCTGCGGTCAAACAAAATGGTGCCGCCCAGAGAGCGCTAAATGGAATGGTCTATAGAACCACAGAATTTTCTGATAAAATTAACAGGGTGTCTACCCAGTAGGCAGACATACAAAATGTAAAATAGTTGGATTTTGCTAAGCCTATAAAATGTCTAGAACATTTCTATTGCTCTGATTTGTCATTATTGAAGAAAGTATTCATTGGAGGTTTACATGATGTACATGGGACATCTGTATGCACCCTGTTCACGTTGATGTTTTATTTTCAGTATCAGGAAACCGAGTGGGTCAGCACCCAGCCAGATGAACCAGAAGACAGCAAAATGGTGAGAATAGTGACCTAATTAATTTGAGGTTAACTTAAATAGAATGCTACTCTTACTCATTCCTTACTCATGGCTATCTTTATGTTGGCTTTAAGGCCAATAGGGAGGTCTGCACTCTACCAACAAAAACACTTCATGTACAAAAGAAAACAGTTAAAGATACTGTGTTCATATCTTGTAACATCTTGTAATTTGAACCTGGGGCGAATAGTACCATTGTTAGCTGCGGCATAATTTCTTCATTTGCTTGCACATTTATTTAGTAGTAGTCTCTAGTTAAAGGGCTATCGGTTGGTGCCATGCAATTGTATGGTATTTTGACATTGTAAATTGATTCCATTTATCTTGCACAGGACTCCTCTTCATCCGAATCGTCTGAGGACTTGGTTTCAGGAAATTCTAGTGAAGATGACACTTCATTGGAATGCCATCCAATGAGGTGTGTGTTTGAAGTTGGAGGGGGGGGGGGGGGGGGTTGACGGTGACGAAAGCAGAAGCTTTTGTTTTGATTATCTTGTTTGTAATCTGCCTTGGGCTCTCAATGACTGGGATTAAGGATGCCTTGTTCCTAGTGAATATTTTGTTTGGAAGACAGGTAGTCCCTAGCTCCCTCCACATGTTTGAAAAGGCACTAAACTTCTGCAAGAACTATGATCTGGTTTATTATTGTTTAACTTGCTCTATTGAATTGACGTTAACATCCGAGAGCAACAAGCAGAAATGCTAGATCTGTAAGAAGCTTTTGATGTAAGAAAATGTGACTGGAATTTTCTTTTTTTTTTGACAGCTTCATTAGCCTTGTAGCTCAGGAGTGTTCTGGAGAGTTTTACAGATCATAGCTTCTTGACTACACGGTTTGATAGACCAAGTGATAGGTTTTCGGACATATGTGATGGAGAGATCTACAAGAACCTATGCAAAAAGTTCTTAGTTCTGGGCAACCCCAAGAACATTTCTTTTACAATTATTACAAATGGATGTCCGGTTTTCAAAAGTAAAAATTGCTCCATCTGGCCTCTTCAGCTTATTATAAACAAACTTTCTGTCTTTTACACACTTAGAAATGTCATTCTTTCAAGCGTCTGGTTTGGAGAAAACCACTTTTCCATGGTGCTATATCTGAAAAGTTTTGTGCAGCAGTACAAAGTTCTTTGTGCCAAGGGCTTTGTGTGGAAGCGCATTGGCACGGAGGTTGTAAGTAAGGCCTTTGCAGTATGCTGCACTGTGGACTCTGTGGCTTGGCCCTTATTGCAAAACATGATTCAGTTCAACACCTACTTCGGCTGCAGTTGGTGTCTTCATCCCGTATCGCTCATTGTTAGGGCAATTCGCTATACAGTCAGTGTCAAGGTGGTTCAAGACCGAAAATCAAAGGGGGCGATCCGTGACATGTACGAAGCTGCGTCAGGAGGTGTTATCTGTAGAGGTTTTAAAGACCCCTCTCCGTTGCTCAACATGCAGTCTTTTAGCGTTATTGAGTCTTTTGTTCCCGACTACTATATGCATGCTGTCCTCCTCGGTGTTTCTCGGTCACTTTTGAACTTGTGGTTTGACAGCAACAGTGGGGAGGCGTTCTATCTAGGAGAACCAGCAACTGTGAGGCTGGTGGACTGTAGGATGAGAGCCATCAAGCCAATATCCAAGCTGGGCAGGTTTCCCCGGGGAGTGAGCGAACGAAAACTCTGGAAGGCGCAGGAGTATCATTCGTGGCTTTTGTACTATCCGCCGCCGATACTCTGCGGGATTTCGCCCAAGCCTTTCCTTGGCCACCTGGCTCTTCTTGTGCACTCTATTTATTACCTCGTTCATGACACACTCACAAAATATGACATTATCACAGCTCATATTCTGCTAGCTGAGTTTATGATAAAATACAACATGCTCTGTGGAGACATTAACATGGTCTTCAATGTTCACTTGTTCCAGTACCTGGCAAAGAATGTCTTGCATTGGGAGCCTTTGTGGACCCATTCTGCCTTTTGCATCAAGGGAAACCGTGGAATAGCAATGCAGGATCTACAGAAGGCCATACTTAAAGAGGCACTGACACATCAAAATTGTATTTTTTTTATTTGTGATGTAGAGATTTTTTAAAAGCAATTTCCAAATGCCGAATTCGAAGTTCCCGCGCGATCCGCGCCGGTGCATTGACGTCAAATATTGCGGAGTCCTGAGAGTCGACTTTCTTCATGACTCTATGCTGTTGCCATCGCGACCCGATGCAAAGAGGAAAGGAGGCGGGAGTTGAGGGCGCCGGTGGACCGAGAAAAAACAGTTTTATTTCACGCAGGGGGCGGTGCCGCCTGCCCAGGCAGCATGTTTTCCGAGGGAGGATACAATTCTGGAAGGCGACATCACACCGGACTCCGATCTTTGGTATTTAAAAAAGAAGGGCCGTAGTGCGTTTGCAATTGCATTAAAAAACATGTTTTACGATTGCCGCTATTAAATGTTATAGAAATTTCGCCTACAAAGCTTCTAAACTTCATGATTTTTAAGGTCACGAATCAAAAGAAGCGAGGAGGCGAAGAGCGGGAGAGGAGGGCACCAAAAATAAAAAGGCGCGCGCTTAAGAAAATTTCTTTCCCGATGCATTTTTTTTTTGCGTGTCTTGACTACAACTTGAATTGTTTTGGAAAATAAAAAAAATACGACCCTTAAGGTGTCAGTGCCCCTTTAAACAGTCTATACATTTCTTTTTCTTGACTAAAGGAACTGATCTAATGAAAAATACATATTTTTCAAAGATGAGAAAAGGTGCCACTTTGGGGACAAAATCTCTGGCGTAACTGTTTTGGGCAATGCGCAGCCATCAAATTTCAGCAGTGTCGAGAAAAGGTGCATTATCTCTACTCTTGGTGCTGTGCCTCCTTGTATTCTGTCTATTCAACATTCATTGCTCGAACTGTTGTTTACCGCTCGTCTCAATACACACATGCTCAAAAAAGTAATGACACCGTCGTAGTCCTGGTGAAAAGTTTGATATTATTTGTTCAATCTTTTCTTGCATGCTTCATGATGCACAAGAAGTTGGCTCAATTGGCTTTTGGCTTAAGTTGAGTGTGATTAAGAGGTGCGCACCCGTGAGCATGTTTACTTTTTATTTACTTTTTAAATAAGAGCAAGCACATGTACAGAAAAATGGTTTTCTGTTTGCCAATTCTAGAAGGGATGGAAACTATGTCTCGCTATTATTTGGTTGAAGCCCGAACATTGTTGCACAGCCCCTTCAAACTCTGAGCATACATGGATGTGTATTGTTTGCAGAAGCTATCAAACTAAAATGTGGACTATTTTATACAATGCAGGCCACCATATAGGTGGTCGTGGTACAGGGCTAGGATAAGCAAACATTTGCATTCATCCCGGCTTCTTTTTAAATGAATTTGGCCAATTTATAAAAAGAAAGTCGACTGTTAATTAGTTTCAATGTCAGGTAAAGACAGAGCATGAAATCCATTGGTTTTGCAGTGCGAGCTTCCTCTCCAGATTGTCCGAGCTGTGGTGCACTAACACACTTGGCCATTGATGCGGTTGCACTTCCATACATATTTGTATTTACACTTTTAATGTCTCCTTGTCTCCTTAACACTCATTCAGTGCACAAAAACTTGTAGTATTTTGTGAATATGGTGAAGATATGAGCTTGATTGATATTTTATCACCACCATGTAAATATGCAATGTCTTTAACATATATATATATATGCACCAAAGCATGACTTATTGTTCTTTTGCATATTGATTCATTTTAAAACATGCTTTTCTTTTATACCCAATCACCATTCTGTTGCAAAATGATTGCATTTGTTCATGTATACTCGTCAATGTACTAGCTGCTTCTCTTTTGTTCGTGGTCCATTAGATATCTGTAAAATAAACTTAATAAAAGTCCAAATAAGTCCTGTCCTGCATCTAATTTGTTTGCTGCCTATAAACATACACATATATTGCTCTGCATTTTGGCAATATACCCTTTCACTAGATTGCTGAACACACAAGACTGATAAGGTCAGAGCACAGAACACGAAACTAACAACTTTGGAGCAATGTTCATGAGCTCAATGCTCAATAATTAATAAGTAATTATTAATGCTCACGCATTAATAATTACTTATTATTGCGCGAGCATTTGAAGCCCCATTTCGAAGAAAACCCTGCATTGTCGACGTCGTCGGCGTAGTGTTCTGCGCACCGGGATAAGCTATGTCAAAAAAAAGAACTTACAAAAAGGTTGCATTTTGCATGACTTCTGTAGGATATATCTTGAGGCTGCATATCCATAGGCTTTCCATAGACCCCACACATGTCCCACGTAGCAACACAGAGTGCTTCCCTAGCGTGTGTGGCATCCCTACAGCAACCTGCACAGTGTCGTACTTGACCTATGGGATCCTAGGCTCTATTCCCACATGCTGCGGGGTACCTACAGCAACCCACAGAATCTCCTACATGTCCCATAAAAGCCACAGTTCTATCCCCACAGACTGTGTGGGGTACCTAAAGAAGTCCCCACAAGCTGTGTGGGTTACCTAAGGAGGCGCCCACAGGCTGTGTGGGTTACCTAAAGGAGCCCACACAGTAACCCACATGTCCCATAGGCCCACAGGCCTGACCCCACAGAGATTTTAGGACACCCATACAACTCCATGGGTGCCCCATAGAGACCTCTAGGACCCCACACAGATTTTCTGTGGGTGCTCTGTGGGCATTTTGACCAGGGATGGTAGTCAAAAGATTGAACCCCATTTCTTTGTTGTAGTAATAGCAGGAAGCATGCCTATGCCCAAACAAAATGTATGCTACAGTTGCTAATAGGGTGAGATTTTAGCAATGCATGCCCTCAAAATGTTTCGTAATTTCACACCACCAGTAAATCACTTTCACTTGTTTTGGGATTTTCAGACCATTAGCAAATCGCTTTAACTTGATTTATGACGATGCAAACCTGTAGAAATAATGTCAGCTCTTTCTTGCGGTACTTTTGGTAAGGTGACACAAGGGCTGCGGTCACTACCATTAAGGTGGTATTGTTGCTTATGATGTTGCCGCAGCCAGGCTGCTTTATGCACTAAATAAATGAACACTACCTTTTGAAATCACGCCTTTAAGGTAGTATTTATTCATGTGGGATACTGGCAACCTTACCAACTCTCGTTATTGCAACTACTCGCCTTTCAGGTAAGCAATGACTGTATCGTGCTACGCTGCATAAAGAAGTCATGAAATGATGTCTTCCTGTACTGCCATCAACCATTTGTTGAGTTAAAAGTCTGGCTATAGTAGTATGACAGTGTTGTCCTGCCCCTAAAAACGCGACTTTTGATCCCTCTGCTCCTGTGTGCAAAGAGGGTGAAACACTATTTTCTTAACGGTAGAAGGGCCTGAAGCATGTGAATAACAGTACTGGGCAGAGCCTCTCCTGAGCAATCAATTGACTTGCTCCACTAAATTGAGATTGTCACTACCTGCAACTACATTATCAGCAGTTCAGATTGCAAATACATAATTAGATTTGGGCCCACCAGCACTGTCATCCTGTCAGTAAATTAATATCTGCTTTTATACAGATGAAAAACATATTAAGATTTGCAATGTACAGTCGGAGGCGTCTTGGGCAACGACTCAGCAGAATCTCGATAATACAAATCTCTCCCCCCCATTCCACTCCACCCACTCCCCTCACTTTAAGTGACCCAAATATTAACAGGCAATGCAATTTGTCACTACGTATTGCGCCATCTAGCGGCTGCAAAATAAAAGACTGGGTAGGCCAGGACAGCCCAGATCGCAAGGACTGCAGGCGGGTGCATATAGAAACCAAGTGTGAATGTGGCATTTTGGATCGGCGTCAGCCTTTTTGGGAACCGTTCTTCTTAAAAGTAAGTCCCGGCTTCACGTCTCCATGAACCCAGCGGGTTTCTGTAGCAACTTGCCTACTCCTATAGGAGTAGGTGAGATGCCACAGGAACCCGCTGGGGTTCGATAGGGTTCCCCCAAAAAATAAATGTTGCTACTGCTGCGTGAAAGACTGTCACAGTCACGAAGGCGACTCAAGCGTCAAACTATACCGCTTCCCCTCGAGATCTTCGGAAGTGACACGGCAACAGAAGTGGATCACTGCAGTGTGATGCATCAGGTAAGTAAATTCTACAGTAATTGTTGCTGTTGAAGTGAACGAAAATAGATGTGCAGGCTTGGAAAGTGGTCTGACGAACTTGTTTTGCAGGGTACTCAGCAAAATAACAATTTTATACAAGTTGTTCTACGAGTCACTATAATCCGTTGCAACCTAAGAACGAAGGGCGAGGGTAAGACGGGTCGGGGAGGAGGAAGCAGACGGAACGCTGGAGAAGAGGGGAAAACCACCTTCTCTCTTTAGCGTTCCGCCTGCTTCCTCCTCCCCGGCCCGTCTTACCCTCGCCCTTCGTTCTTAAGTTGCAACAGACTATAGACACCACATAGGGAAATACAATAGGAACAATTGGGCCGATTGTTGCTTCGCTGTGACGTCCAGAATCAGGCGATCAGGCCTTCAAGAAGCGAGAAGCCCGTCCCGGCAGTCGTAGTTGTATGTGCACATAGCCGTTCGGCACACGCGCGGTCGTAACCAAAACCTTCCAAACCTGCGAGTTCTCAAATAGTAAATTTTCGCAGCACATAAAGCTTTGTTTGTTTCGGCAACAAAATTTAACGCTGAATCTGGTAACAAATGTGACGGCATGCAGAAAACAGGATGCGTAAGTTTTCCTTTAGAAAAAGCGCAAGTGAAGCATAAATATCCTTCTCACGTGTGCACTTTGTTGCCTGTCACCGTTTCACACCAGGCTTGCATGTCACGGTACAGCGATTGTAACGTGCATACTGTTCTCTAGCATGCAGAGTATGTTTCTAATTACTCACATTTTCTAGCCGGGGGCGAGCGCGAGGAAACAGGAAGAGCGTGCCGCACCAGGCTGGGGCCACGCAGGAACGATGGAGCCATTCTGGCTGTTCTGGCTCATGGCGACTCCTGGAGCGTTCCGCCAGCGAGGTTCAGATCAGGACCGGCGGAAACGGCGAGCCCTGGCCACACCGACCTAGGCCATGACGATC